AAGTTCTACTTTGCTTTGAAACCGTTGCTGGACGTCGCGTCGTAGTCTTTTTCGTCGCTGTTGTGTTGTTGTTGTAGTCGTCGTCGTAGTCGTCGTGGCCGTGGCGCTCTTCCAGAGAAGCTGTCACGGACGACCAGTCTTGAAGCAGAAAAAGGGAGAGAGAAAGGGATGTGAGATCAGCGAATCGTTCCAAAACGGAGGCGATTGTGATGGTGGTGGTGGTGGTACTCGTACGCTCGTTCGGCGATGCCAACACAAAGTGGAGTAGCAGTGATGACAGTGGTGGCTGCAGAGAGAGNGTTGTTTTTGTTGTAGTCGTCGTCGTCGTGGCCGTGGCGCTCTTCCAGAGAAGCTGTCACGGACGACCAGTCTTGAAGCAGAAAAAGGGAGAGAGAAAGGGATGTGAGATCAGCGAATCGTTCCAAAACGGAGGCGATTGTGATGGTGGTGGTGGTGGTACTCGTACGCTCGTTCGGCGATGCCAACACAAAGTGGAGTAGCAGTGATGACAGTGGTGGCTGCAGAGAGAGCAGGGGTGGATGAAAACACCAAGCGAAACAAAAAGAAAGGCGAAAATGTATGCGCGTTGAGTTTGTGTGTGAGTGTGCAGCAGAGCGAGCAAGCCAGCCAGAGAAAAAGAAAGAACAGTCAGCGAGTGTGCGTGTCAGCTGCGCAAAAGGCAGCAGCAGCAGCAGCAGACATGCTCAATGCGGCGACGACGGCAGCGGCAGCGGCGGCAGAAGCAGCAGCCGAGACGGCAATGACCGCGGCAAACGAGCGTACTCTTCTGCTCTAGAAGTGAAGATCATGTGACGCCGAGTGGAGGGGGATACTATTTTTGAGAGTGGATAAAAAGAAGAAGAAGAAGAAGACTATGATGATGGTGGTAATCAGACGGCGATCCTCCCTCTCCAAATTGGTGTCAGCGGTGTCCGAGTTGGTGGCCAGACGCACTGGACTGCAGACTTCAGACTGGCTACTCTTCTTCCGAAGAAGCTTCACCGCTGCTGTTGCTGCAATCTCATTAGCATCATCAAATTGTTGCCCTTCTAATGCGCACTTGTCGAACAAGTTGGCTACACTAAGCTGTGGTGCTGCAAAAAAGTGACACTTTGCCCGTTGACCGTGTCTGTGTTTTGTCCACTGATGATGATGGTGATGACGTTCAACGGTGGCACTACTATCACTGCCGACTGAATGGACTTTGGCTTTGTACTCAAACATGTGTACTGAGATCGTCTCACACAGCTTTGGCCATGCTGGCCGGCAGTACGGCTCGGTAGTGATTTGCGACTGTCGGATCGAAGCGAGGAAATGGTCTGTGCTATTTTTCGACAGCAACATCAACGGACCATCCCTCGCCAATTTTCCCCACGACTGGCCGACAATGCAGTATTTGCATCGATGCATTGAAATCAGCCGAAATTAAGTTGCGCTCGGCAGTGTTGATTGATTTTATCCATCAACAGGCAGAGGCGGCGGAGATTTGATTGAGAAGAGTCAGATGGCTGGAAAGTTAGCTTGATGAAGTTTTTGTTTGTTTAGTAGCTAAAGAGGTGAAAATCAGCAGCAGCAGCTTTAATTATGCCAAAGAACAGGTTTAATCAGGAGTGGCGGGAGGCACTGGATCATGGCTAATTTCGGCAGACAATGGAAGGAAGCGGTAGTGACCAGTCTGGGACTTGTTTTGGAACGGTATATAAAGAGCGGTGGATCTCACCGTTGGAACTCACCGCTCACTTTACATTGAGAATTCACCACCACCAAACCCAAACCCCAAACCCAGCTTCACTATGCACTTCTCCACCGCCCTAATCTTCAACTTCCTCCTGGTGCTCTTTGCCCTTCAGCAGATCACCGTGAATGGCGACAGTGCCGAGGACTATGCGAAGAACCTCAAGGTCCCGCCTCGCTTTGGCAAGCGTGCTGACGCCACTGACTACGGTACACAAATGATCTTTTGTTTTCTGGAGAATAACATTACTTAAACTTCTTTCTTCATTTTCAGCAGAATCACCAATGAACGAGGAGGTCTTTGAGCCGGTGAGCAGCAGTCAGATGGTCGGCGATGCGGCTCACGCTCCATCGCCGCTGATGGTCAAGTACTTCTGTCGACTGGTGCAACGACGTCTGCTCACCGCCAGACAGTGTTTCCACTGATCTGTCTCCATCAGCAGTGAAACAGACGACATCAAGAGTTGTTCTGAATTCGAGAATTCACTTCCTTCCCTTTCCCTTTCTCCTTCTTTCCAATCGCCGATCCTAGATGGCAGCGGCCACTTTTGTTCAGCAGAAGCAGCAGCTGAAAAAGAGTTTTCTTTCGTTTGCCGATCTGTTCACACTTCTTCTTCTTTTTCGAAACCAAATCAAATTATCTTTGTTACGCAATGTGTGAGTGGTGTTTGTGCGTGTGTGTTGCACTGTTCTAGTCATTGTTAGTTTTGCTTGAAATAAAAACAAATAAAAACCGCATTGTTGGAGTTGAACTAATACAACTTTTGAGTCATTAGTCATCAATCTACTTTTTGTTAAAAAAGTTAGTTTGACAATGAACGACCCCGGCTTCCCTGACAAGGACCGCGCCTCGCTGGAGGCCCTCGGCTACCGCATCACCGGGACGGCGCCCATCAACTCGGGCGCCTTTGTGCAGGTCTTTCGCGCCACCCGCAAGGGCGAGCCCTGTGCGGCGAAGGTGCTCAACCTGACGCTGCTTGGGAAGGTGCTCGGTGAGGAGGGGCAGAAGGACTACCGTCTCAAGAGCCTGCCTCGGGAGCTGTAAGAAAAGACTGGGTAGCACCTTCTTCCTGAAAACTAATCATTTTCCAGGTGCACACTTCGCAAGCTGAAACACCCGCACCTGGTGGCCATCCACGACGTCTACTCGCTGGGAAGCCTCTCCTGGGTGGTCCTCTTCCTGGAGCTGGCCGACGGCGGCGACCTCCTCGATCTGCTCAAGGACAAGGGCACCTGGCTGTCGGAGTTTCGTTCTCGAAGTCTCTTTATGCAGTTCGGTGACGCGCTGCGCTACCTGCACTCCATCGACACCGCCACCGCTCACCGGGACGTCAAGTGCGAGAACGTGTTACTCAACCAGGACCGGACGGCCTGCAAACTGACTGATTTTGGTAAAGATGTTTGTTTTCATTTCAGTTTCTAAAATGATCTCCTTTCATTTTGCAGGCTTTTCACGCTCCGTCCTAGACGCAATCACCAGCCGACGAGGAGTACCCGACGGCGGCAGCGGCACCTACTGCGGTTCCCAAGGTATTGGGCTGGTCTGAGCAAGTTTATCGTCTTAAACTTAATTCGAACTGTACAAACTATTTATAGCCTACTCACCACCTGAAGTAATCAAGGGGACGACGCCCTGCGACCCGAAAAAGGCAGACGTGTGGAGGTAATTTAGAAAAGCGAAAAAAACGAGCCTTGATTTTAAAACACTTATTTCTGCCCCAGCACCGGTGTCGTCCTCTTTGTGCTGCTGAACAACAAGCAAGTGTTTTTTGCTTTTTGAAAACTCAAACTTGAACCAACTGTAACGTGAACTTTTCGCCTAGGTTTCCCTTCTCCGACACTGAGAGCTCTGAGATGCTGAAACGGCAGACGGAGGGCACGTACAGCTACCGCAACAAGACACTGACGCCGGCCGTTCGCCAGGTGATCAGCTTGCTTTTCACGGTCAGCCCGGCGGACAGGCCATCGATGAGTGAACTCTTCACCCACCCTTGGTTTGTCATTCGACCCAATGTGGGCATCAAGGCGTCCCCTTCGACGACGCCACTGCCGTCGATGACGTCGTCATAGCCATTTCACTATCTTTTATTAGCTCGCAAAGTTATCCTAACTTTTCCTTGATTGATTATTTCCTCCACACGTTGACTTTTACTCTGCTTTGTTTGCTTAATCTTTGTACAAAAGATCAGAAAGAAGTGAAAATATTCATTCATTCCATTATCATTCAAATAATCGAGAAAAGCAGAGCACATTTGTCTTGCTTTAGGAAAGCAAAGCAATGCAAAGCAAACAGACACGTACGATTAGTCTAATTAACGATGCTGTTGCTGCTGTTGTTGTACACACTGTTTGCCTATTCTGATACATTCTGTAGTAATTGTGTGTGTGTGTGTGCAATTTTGCCTTGTGATTAGCCTTCGATCCAACAAAAAAAGTGCTCATTGGCAGACAGCGGCAACAATTTGCTTCCGATCCTTGCCGTTTAGATCATCAAATGTCAATGTGAGGGTAAACTTTAGCTGTCACACCAAACTGGTGATGAACTTCCTCCTTCTTTTCTTTTCCCTGTGCTCACACGTCTGCTCACTGACTGATTGCGTTTTGATGGTGATGTGCCTTCAGAAAGAAAGCAGATGGTGGTCATCGAGTGCCAGTGGGCAAGAGCAGAAAAAAAGGTGGAGTACCAAACAAAAAAAGTTAGTCCACTGATGATCGCCCTTCGCTGTAAAAACACTCGCTCAAAACTCTTTCTTTCTCGAGCAAGTTAATTAAAATGCGTGTTGTCCAATCAATTGAAATTTGAACGCTTGTTTGGATGCTGCTGTTGTTCTTGTTTTTGTTGTTGTCGTAATGATGCTACTGCTGATGATGACGGTGATGCCAGAACTAGAGTTAGTGTGAATCCACTGACCATGTTGCACACTTTGTTTGTGCTCAGTTCAACACAGCACACACTTTCCAAAGCTGTCGAATCGGAATCCACTTTTAATTAATTCCGAGTCGTGCAATGGGCGCTAATGAAGGCGCTCGGATGTAATTATTCGGTAACCATTCTCTGCACTGTGTGTGTTTAGCCAGCAGTGAACACCACTCTGCTGACGACGTCGTCGGCACCTTCCCAAAGGCCACAAGAAGCATTTTTGAAGAAGAAAAAGAAGAAGAGAGCTCAACACACAGAAAGCACTAGGGTGTTGAATTAATTAATTAATTGACGTGTACATTAGGGTGCACCTAGGAAAGGATGAGAGAGAGCCCAGAGGTAAATTGGAAACGAGACAAGAAGAAAAGAGGAAAGTTCACACTTGCATTCTCTATTTTCTCAGAGGCGCTGACCTGCAAAATGAGCTTCTGTTATACTGGCGATGCAGTGGTGACACCAAAGAAGGAAAGTCGATTAACGCAAAAACTAATTCTAAAGGAAAGTGCATTATTCATAACCTACTTGAGAAAGTTAAAAAATATTACATCGGCACCACACTGGATTACAATGTTACAAAAACGTTTTAGTGCTATTGTTAGAGACAGACGGTGCAACAGAATGACCACCACTGAGAACAAATTGCACTAAACTGTTTAATTGAAATGAGAAAGTGAAGCACCAGTGTAAACACAAACTGTGTAGGGTTAAAATACACTTGTTTTCGTAATCTCTGACGTGATCTCAACTGGTTTGTCTATGTTTAGCGTTTAGATGGGCTCCTAAGTGAGAGTGAAAATCAAATTATTCTTCCTGAATAGAGTTGTTGGTTTTGGCCCTTTCTCCTCTTTCTTCTTCTTCACACACACGCGCACTGGCAGAAAGCAATTACAGTCAGTGAAAGCGACACTCCGTAATCCGCTCCATTTGATTATTGAATCGACGAGCCATGAAGTGGGTGATGTTGCCATCGGGTTGACAGCATCCATTTACTCACACACACAGAAAGACATTGTGCGACAGGGCAATCACGATGATTACCTTTGCAGAAGTGGCAGCAACAGCAGCAGTAGCAGCTGATGCGGCTCACTTGCTGTCTGTCGAGTGATTGAATACATCTGCGGAGAATCTCGCCAACACACACACACACACACAAAACTGGCACAACCTTTTCTCAACGTAAACGCAAGCGGAAACACCAACACTGAAAAGAATCGCGCCCGCGCGGGTGATTAGAGTTAGAGTAAACTGAGTTTTCAGCGTTTCCCAAACGAATCTATCGTTTGCAGTGTCGGCTCAGTGCTTGCGTCATGCAAAGCATCATCATCAGTGTGTGTGCGGTAATGGGCGGTCATGCAGAAGAAGAAGAGGTGCCCGAGAGAAAGGGAACGCGCGCGAGGGTCCCCGTTGGGAGGAGAGCAACGGCGCCTCTGTACAGCAGCAGTGTGCTGTACAACGCTGGAAAACTGGCGTGAAACCCTTTTCAAGTGGTCATAGACGAAAAAGAGAGAGGCAGTGCTGCTCTTTTCGCAGTGGCTTCACCAGCTGCTGCTACTGCTTATTCTCTTGTTGAGGAAAAAGAGTGCGTGGTAGGATCATTTGAGAAGATGCTCTGAGCAACTGCAACTGCAACCGAGTCACAGTCCGCCGCACAAGCAACCACCACCACCACCAGCACCACCACGACAGAACACAGCCCCCTCAACCGCAAACCACTTGCCACTTTGCTGTCAGAAAACCACTGTCTCTCAGTCACTTAGCAGATCGACAGTATAAAAGGAGCCCAGTCTGGAAAACCGATTCATTCATTCAGCAAGAGCAGCGAACAGCAGTGAATAAACCTGATTCAAACTCAACCACTCACATCCGCTTCCACTTTGACTTGAACTTTACCACTGACTCCTACTGAGTGTGTTTTTTCTTGCTAACTCCTTTGTCTCCGGTCAGCTAACCCACTCTTTTTTGTGCACTTGCTAATCCGCAAACTCTTCAGTGTTCGGTAAGTCTGATTAGCAGCAGGAGCAGCAACAGAATAGTGGACCCCCGCCCGATTGTCTCATCATTGAGGACGCCTGCAGTGACTTTAAAAAAAATGAAGCAAAAAAAGTTGCTAAGCTAGGCAAAAATAATTTGATAACTTTTAATCAATGTGTGAAAAAGATGATTCCATGCCCCAATTTAAGTCTAAAGTTGCCTTCTGCTGCAGAAAGTGCTGATTAGCATTTGCCGCTGCAAAAACGGCCCAAGTGCATTTCCAGTGCAGACGGGATTCTCTTTTGCCCTTTCAATCCATGAGTAAACTCAATTTGCCCATTATCAATGTGTGTGAATGGCAAGTTCCAAAGAAGAGAAGCCAATTAATAAAGCAGCGTTGTTTTTTGCCTGCGTCACCGAATTTAACGGGAACCCTATTCAAGCCAGTCAATTGGCTCTTTATAATATGGTCATCATTAACGGCCAACATCATCATCATATTAGCACACACACTCACAAACACACCTTTAGTGCAAACAAACTTTAGGTATATTTAGGCTGAAGTACTGCAGCCAATTCTAAAAAAAGAGCTTAGCAGTATTTTTTGCTCGCTAATAAAAGCTGACCATTTGAAAACAAATTAGCGCGAGTGAGAACACATGAACCTAATGAAGTGCAACTTTCCGGCACCCTCATTGTTGACTCACTTCCTTCTCCTTTTCATTTCAGCGCCGCTAATTTTACGAGTCACAGAGCTCACCATTCCTAGTAGGCACTAATTAAACATCTCTCTCTCTCTCTCTTCCCTGATTATCGCCCTATAAAGCAGCCCAGCGTACCACCTGTACCAACTGACTATAACAGCAGCAGCAGCAGAGAAGCAGCTAACCAGCAAACACAGCAAAAAAAACAATGTCTCAAACAATGAACAGCAACATCAACTCAATGGAGGAGAAGAAGAGCGCCAAGCATCAGCACCACCATCATCAGCAGCAGCAATCACTGACTCGCCTGGTGACACTGTTCGCCATCGTGGCGGTGATCATCGCCCAGAGTGTGCTGCTTGTGCCGACGGCCGAGGCGCGATATCTGCCCACTCGAAGCAACGTCGATCAGCTGAAGCGACAGGAG